CCACTCACCTCAGCCTCCCAAGGCACGGGATTACAGGCTGAGCTACCGAGCCCGGTTTATCTTCATTTTATTAAAATGTTTGTCATCAACATTCATGCGAAATTCCCACCGGCTGACTTTAATGACCCAAAACGCACCGACACCCTGACTGCCCTCCCCATAAACAAAGCCACGGCCAGGGGTGTCTACACAGGCAGGTGCGTGTGGGACTGAGAAAGGTCAAAGCCGAGGCTGGGACCCTCCTTGCAACAGGGAATGTCCCCTCTCCTCCCCAAACCAGAGACGGCCATTTCCCGAAACAACACAGGGGGCCACAAGTGAGACCTTTCTCTCCAAACGCTCTCCCAGTCCCGAGGAGACTCACTTCTGTACAGAAGCTTTCGCGGCCTCATGCCCACCGCAGACACGCAGGAGGCACGGTCACCCGTGAACACGAGGGAGGGGCAGGGAAGGTGGGGAGACCTCAGAGGGTCCCACCGCAACGGAAAGCTCATAGGAAGAGACAAGGATGGCCAACACGAGGGGCCACAGGCATGGACGGACCTACAGACACAGACACACACACAGAGGCCCACACACCTAAGACAGAAATATAGAAACACACACACAACACACAGATATGGAGAGTCACAGACATGAGGTCACAAAGACATACAGGACATGGGCACGGACAGACACACGTTCACGCAGAGACAAGCACGGTCTGTAGAGAGTTGAGTATTTGCTTCTTTATGTGAGGTGGTGGTCTCACACAGCCTCGACCTTCTGGGCTCAGGCGATCCTCCTGCCTCAGCCTCCCAAGTAGCTGGGACTACAGGCGTGTGCTACCACACTCGGCTAATTTTTGTAGAGATGAGGTCTTGCTATTTTGCCCAGGCTGGTCTTAACTCCCTGGGCTTGGGCAATCCTCCCAGCCTTGGCCTCCCAAAGTGCTGAGATTACAAGTGTGAGCCACTATGCTTGGCTTAATAGACCTTTTTATTGTTTTGAGTTGGAGTCTCACTCTGTCACCCAGACGCTCACAGCCATCACAGCCTCGACCTGCTGGGCTCCGGCAATCCTTCCGCCTCTGCCTCCAAGTAGTCGGAAATACAGGCGCATGACTCTACGCCTGGCTAATTTTTTGATTTATTGTAGAAATGAAGTCTGACCAAGTTGCCCAGGCCGGTCTCGAACCCCTGGGCTCAGACAATCCTCTCGCCTCCACCCCCCAAAGTACTGGGATTACAGGCGTGAGCCATTGCACCCAGCTAATAGACCATTTTTAAATGAATGTTCACCTGAGTTTTTGCACAATGAGTGAGACAAATGGACATGAAAAGATTCGATAACCGCAAAATGTCTCACACAAACAATACAAAGACAATCCTGTGAGAGGGGAAATAACTCGCTTTAGGGTCTGGAGGTGGGAAGGAAAGACGGAGAATAGGAGGGAAGGGAAGACAGGCCAGGACACCAAGATGGGGCCAGCAGGGCCCCACAGGCCTGGCGGGCACCGCTGCAGGGCCATTCACGCGTCCTGACACCTTAGGGCCAGGATGACTCGGGGGTGAGTCCTACACAGCATGGAACCCCACAGAGGGTCCCGTGGGGGCTGGCGGCGGGAGGCGGTCCGGCCTGGCTGCCTGGGCTGCCTTCACCCAATCCACACCCCCCTCTCCGCTGCTCAAGGACCCAGACGCTGTGCTGCTCTTACACAAACAGGCCGCTGCAGGCCTCGAACATGGTTTTCTTTTCTTTTTTTTGAGTTGGAGTCTCACTCTGTCGCCCAGACTGGAGTGCAGTGGCCGCTCCCGGCCACCGCAGCCTCGACCCGCAGGGCTCCGGCGATCCTTCCGCCTCAGCCTTCCGAGTAGCCGGAACTACAGGCGCGCCCTACCATGCCCAGCGAGTTTTTTTTATTTACTGTAGAGACGAGATCTTGCCAAGTTGCCCAGGTGGGTCTCGAACCCGCAGGCTCAGGAAATCCACTTGCCCCGGCCTCCCAAAGTGCTGGGATGACAGGCTGAGCCACCGAACGCCAGCAAACCTCACTTCTGAGGGAGTGGGTCTTCCTGTCCAGGAACCCCACGCTGCTTACGCCCTGCGTGCCGACCGGCCAATGGCAGGCATTATTTATTCATTCAACAAACATGCACGGAGCGCCACCTTCCTCTGCCTCCTCCCCTGGTACCAGGCACTGCTTCAGGCTCCGGGGACCCGGCAGCGGCTGAAGCAGCCGAGGCCTCTGCTTACGCGGTGCTCTCAGTCGCACGGCTCCGCTTTCACCGACAAGGATGTGGGATTCGGGGCTGGCGTGGCATTCATTCTGTCCCGGCAGAAGAGCAGTAACAGTACACATATCAGTCACACAAGTGGCTGCTTTTGGCCAGGGAGCGAGTGGGGCTCGAGTCCCTCTCCTCTGCGCTTTACCACGGTCCCTCGAGCGATGCCACCGCTTCTGTTTCTCAGCTGGGGAAACAGGCTCAGCAGAGGCCGAGGAGCCGTCCAAGGGCCTGGAAGTGGGAAGTGGCCAGGCTGGGACTTGAACCTGGGTCCTCCTAGCTGCAAAGCCCGTCCACACTCTTCTTGTGGCCATGGCGTAGCCCGGCCCCGATCCCTCCACCATCTCAATGCTTTCCTGCCCTGGTGCGCTGAGCGCTGTCTCGACACGACCTTCCCGGGCACACGCAGCACCAAGCCTGCAAGCCCACGCCCCGCGGCCAATCCTCAGAGCGACTGGAGTCCCAAGACCACACAGGGCCGTGACCTCGAACTTCCAGGATGGCACCGTCCAAGCTGGTGGCCGCCGGCTCCTCGGGCATTTGGACTCCGTGCATCTATATTCCTTCTAACGACACGTAGCACAAACCCGGTTCCCCGGGTGCACAAGCCACAGATCAAGGGCTTCATAAACGCAGGTCCCATAGGTCCAGACTGGACGGTCCAATACGTGGCACCTTTGGGGCCGCAGACAGGCTGCCGGCGGTGCTACCAGAACACCCAAGGGCGAGTGGCTGTCCCACGCCCCCGCCGCCATGCAGGCCTCCCAGCCCAGACCCTGATGGAAACCAGAGACCGAAATGCACACAGGGGCCTCATCGCAGATGACACCGTACCCACAGCCGGCTGGCGGGAGCATGGAAAGGCACGTGCACTTAGGAGAACCACTGCCAGTGTTTTTTTGTTGTTGTTGGAGTCTCACTCCTTCGCCCAGGCTGGGGTGCAGTGGCACGCATGCTCACGGCCACCCCAGCGTCGACCTTCTGGGCTCCAGTGATCCTTTCGCCTCAGTCTTCTTAGTAGCGGGAACTACAGACGTGTGCTACCACGCCCGGCTATTTTTTATTTTATTGTAAAGACGAGGTCTCGCCGAGTTGCCCGGGCGGGTCTCGAACCCACAGCCTCAGGCAATCCACTCGCCTCCGCCTCCCAAAGCGCCGGGATGACAGGCTGAGCCACCGAGCCCAGACAGCAGTGCCTTTTGAGTCAGATGTGTGCAGAGTGACCTCAAGACCCACAGTTAGCCCCTCTTCCCGAGAGCACTGCAAGTGTCCACACTGACGACGGAATGTTCACAGGGGCGTTCTCCAACAGACATGACCCATCAGCTGGCGGGCGGACACCATGGGGCCCGTCCGCACAGGGGAGTACTATTCAGCCAGAAAAAGAACAACACACGTGCCGGGCTCGGCGGCTCAGCCTGTAATCCCAC